TTGAGAGTTATAATTTATGCTCTTCAGGAGCAAATAATATTCTTATAATGTTGTGCTACTTCTGGAGCAACAACGAATAGATTCATAATTAATATTCTTTTGGAATATTAATTATAATGTCGTGCTACTTCATGAGCAACAACAATTAAAAATAATTTTAATGTAATGTTTCATAACTAAGCATAAAAAAAATGATAATACATATAATTGCTCACCATTAATTAATATACAAATACATGTAAAATATTATTTTTAATTAATAACGTGAGTCGAGTGAAACACAAAAAAAAATTGGTGACATGTAGAAACCTATTCACATATTATGGCACGAAATTCTAATTATGTGCAATTAAAAGAATTGAATTAGTATTAACCAATTAAGGTATGAAATTTGCAAAAATCAATGAATTTGAGAGAAAAGATGAGTTTGGTACAATTATCTGTTAATTGTATATTATATATATATGGAATCAACAAAAATAGAGATCTGGAATTGAAGCTTGCTTACAAAGAATATTGACCAATTAAACTAATAAAAATTATAAGCATGTGTAGAACGTAAATGACTAATCTAAATATAAGGAGGGTATAGGAACATGAATTGATGCATATCAATTGATTTAACATAAATATATCTTCATAAAAATACACGTGGATTGATGTAAAGGAAAAAAACATTAATTAATTCAAAGAGAGGTACAAAAAAAATATAATGATCAAGAAAAATGAGATCATGTATTGCAGATTCAACATATGTATATGTAAAATTCACGTATTATCAAATTAATTTTGATATACGTGATAGATGATTATAAAAAAAATTACTACCTTCTAAGAGTTTTGTACTGATAACGTGTTATTAAATGAGAAGAAAAGAAAATAGAAAAAATTCAAAGAGAATAGAGAAAACTCAATAAACTTTTTATGTATATTATTGAAAATCAAAACCCTATATTTATAGGTAAGAATCATGGATACAATAGTAATAATTTCTAGGGCTACAGGGGTACAAATGTCATTCACCAATAAATTTTGATGGACTTTCCATTTACAACAGAAAATGAATTTTGAAAAAATGAATTTTTATAAGAATGAGGCCCAAACAATAGCCAAATCCTTCTAAAGTATTAAATTTATCTCTTTTGAGTTCTCATTGAGTCTATTTAAGTAATTCAATCATATAACTTTATGCGAATAAATTTTAGTTAAGCGAAATATTAGTTCTAAGAATTTATCTGACAACCGCAATAATTAGTATAGATATCTCTACATGTTATACTAAATTATTGGATTTTACTATGTGGTCTAAATCTAAATCTCACCTCTTTATTCGTAATAGATTCACAAAATCATTGAATAATTGACCAAAGAATTCAAAGCATTAAATTCATGAATAAAATCAGCATATCTGCATTTAAATAACTAGAATCTGAATAAACGAAATAAATGATCACACATAGATTGCATTGTTCACCTCAGGGGCGGACCCAGACAGTTTGAACTAAATGGTCACACATAGATTTGGAGTTATGAATTAAAAAAAATAAAAAATTTATTTAAGTAGTTCAAGTCTTTATATAATCAATCTCATTTAAAGGATATGTGTTGATCTATATTTTGATAATTAGTCGATGTGAGATTTATTTCTTAACAAGAACTTCTATTCTGCCAGAACAAAATCCTTTTTAAGTGGCTAATAAACTTAGGCAACATGTTGTGATGAGCAGATGATAAGGGTGTTAAGAAGGCATCCTAGTGCACTTTCTAATATCGTTAAGATATGACTCATATAGTGATTTTGGAATTGAATGTGAGAAAATACCAAGTGGGGGAGGGTCAAGTGGTGCCACTTGCATTGTGACCTTTGTTGATTGGCCATTTTCCCAATTGGACGGTTCAATCGCTTTCAATTAAAGGACCGTTAGACATCTTTTTATGTCACAAGTTTAATATGGAAAGCTTAATACTTCAATTGTGTCTTACCATTTATATGCTTCACCTTCCTTAAATCTTTACGATGCTACTTTTGTTAGATGATCACAAGGTCACTATAGATTACATACCAGGAGTGAAGGCTATCGAACCAAGCAACCTTATGCCATACCTTCAAGCCACAAGACATATGGACAGTGGTGCACCGGGTTATTTACCGAGCTTTCGAGGATGTGAAAAAGTCAGACATCATTATTTGCAACATGGTCCATGAACTAAAATCCGATACACTTTCAGCCCTAAATGCCTATCAGCCCACCTACGCAATTGAGCCCATTGTCTCTGCAGGCTTTACTAAGTGGACCATGTCCACAAGCCTCTGGTCCGGGTCCGATTGGACCCAGTGGCTAAACACCAAGCCTAATGGGTCTATTCTCTATGTTTCATTCGGAAGCCATGCACGTACTGCTTGTAGAAAATGATATTCAGGAGAGCTCATGGTATTTCATTGAATGAGGTAAATTTCGTGTTATTCGACCCGATATTGTGAGCTCGAATGAAACCAAAGTTCTTCTGACTGGATTCAAAGAACGCATAAAGGCCACAGGGTCAATCGTGCAATTGTGTAGCCAAATTAAGGTAATTTCACATTCCGTGGTTGGGGGATTTTCATCCCATTGTGGGTGGAATTCTGTACTAGAAAGTAGCCAAATTAAGGTAATTTCACATTCCGTGGTTGGGGGATTTTTATCCCATTGTGGGTGGAATTCTGTACTAGAAAGTATATGGTGTAGCGTGCTACTAATTTGCTTTCTATTATTCACAGATCAATTCACTAACCGGAAATTAGTGGTTAATGATTGGAAAATTGGGATTAATCTTTCCGATAAATCATCAATTACAAGGGAAGAAGTAGCAAAGAAGAATAAGTGTTTAATGAGTGGAAAAAATTCAGAAGAATTAAGAAACGCAATTAAGGAATTGAGGGGGAGAGTAGGGAATGCATTGGCAACGAAGGGATCATCTCATATAAATTTCAATCTTTTCATTAAGGACTAGTTTTCCGCCTCATCTTTTTAGGTAATATTAAGTTATTAACGTGTCAAAATATCTATTCAATTCTCTCAATAAATCTATAAATTTGATTAATTGTTTAAAATGATAAACAGAAATGTAATTTTCATATATAACACACTTCTGACATTAAAAAAAAAAAAGTTTATTAAGAAATTTTCTGAATGACGTCAAAAATTTTATTAGATTATTTAAAAAATTAATTGATTGAGAGGAAAAAGTAACAATAAGAAAAAAATTTCTAAAAACAATCGAATTTCTTTTATATATAAAAAATTTTCAAATGTTAAAATATTAAGATGAAAAATTAGTTGGCCTTAATTTTGTGTTATTTTCTTCCCTTGATACATAGATTAAAAATCAAATTTATTGGAGCTCATAAATCAAGCATTTTTTTTAGTTTGAGTGGTTATTTTACATATAAAGGACTTATTTGATGATAACTATATTCAATATAATTAAATCGTATAATTAGTTGAATCTTTTTTTTATTGTCCAATATCCAATCGATTTAATGAATTTTTTTATTTACGTATAATATTATTTTATGGAAGATTCTGCGATTGAAAATAAAAGAGAGAAAAATGAGAAAAAAAATTTAAAACACAAGTTGAGCCACAATATAATATTTTGTCGCTTAAATGAGGTTGAGATTTTTATTTAATCACCCTATTTTGATATATTTGAATTTAATCCTCCAAAATTTATATACATCTAAAATATTCAATATCGTCAAATAAATTAATCGACATCTTTTTGATTGATAATTAATTTTTTCAACATTGTGTTAAGTTTTACTTTGATTTATCACAACTACTTTTAGAAAATAAATAATATACATGATTTAATATAATTCGTGTCATATTATATAAGGATAAAATATATTTGTATAAAAAATATATCAATCACCAAGGAAAAAAGGAAATTATATTGATAAAATTGTCGCAAAAAAATAATAAACATTAATAAAATAATTAATTTTTTAAAGAAAAAAGGAGGAGTTATCCTCATTTTTTAACATACGCTTGATGTACATTTAACTATATTCGATATTCATTTAAATCATTCGATGTATCTATTATATAGTCATCGAAATAAACTTCGAGAGAATATAATATATTTATAAAGATTTTATGATAGATTTTTATATAAAAAAAAATCACCTAATGAAAAAAAATATATATATATAGATTTGACACTGAACATCATCTATATATAATAATAATAATAATAATAATAATAATAATAATAAAAAAGAAGTTGCCTAATGGAGCAATTCCGTGCATCACGGAGCATTTGCTTCGTGATGTGCGGAGTTCTATTTTTTCTTTTTGTCAATTCTTTTTTTTATCACTAAGTGATTTATTTATTTTTTTATATAAAAATATATCATAAATCTTCTATATTATCTCGAAACTCATTTCGAGAACTATATCATAAATATATCGAATGATCTAAATGAATATAAAAAATAGTTAAACGTACATTAAACGTGTGTGTTAAAAAGTGCGTATAATTCGTCTCTTTTCTTAAAAAAATCAATTATTTTATTAATATTTATTATTTTTTCGTGACAATAATTTTTGACTTTATTTAGAAAATTTCCTAATAAACTTTTAAATTTTTTTAATATCAAAAGAGACATCATTTAAAAAATTAAGAATTTCGATAACATGCTAACTTTATAAATTTATCGACGATTGTACCGTAGTCGAATGCATAAATCTTTTGTATTCTCTCGAAACTCATTTCGAGAACTATGTCATAGACGCATTGAATGATATAAATGAATATTGAAAATAGTTAAACGTACATCAAATATGTGTTTTAAAAAATACGTACAACTCGTCTTTCTTCTTCAAAAAAATCAATTATTTATTAATGTTTATTATTTTTTCGCGACAATTTTTATAATAAAAATATTATGTGATATAAAACACAAGATCAATTATCCAAGGAAAAAAATTGATGTACCCAATTAGGAGTAAATGGCTCATCGGTTTGCATGTAAGGGTCAAATGGGCAATAATGAAATGCTTCTTGAACGAATAGTAACTGGCACGATAAAAAATTCCTACAATTCGCTGCCATAATTTTTGTCTCACTCTCTCATGATGCACAAGAAGATTTTTTTTTTTGAAGGGACAGCTACAGTAACTCACTTGTGTAAGTCAATAATTGAGGCAATAAAGTGGTCTCATTAATTTCATTTCTGGAAGCTATAGCATCTAACGAAGTGAAATGATATTTTTTAACTGAAACTACAATTACCGTCAGCAAATGGTTCTATAAAGTCAATAAAGATAGCAATAATGCTGTCATATTTTATTATTATTTTTAGAAAAAAAAAATTGTGATGAATAGTGTATAAAGAGTTCAACTACAGTACAAAACCAGTTAAGTGTGAAACCGCTGACTCAGGTTGAACAGTAAATTTTGGATCCTCTTTTTTAAAGTAAAGGGGATTTAAAGACCAAATTGCAAATTAGATATGGGTCAAGTATTGGGCTTAAGGAAATGAATCAACCAATCATGTTTGGGCTTCTAATAACTGTAAGCAAACAGTTTACGGGAAAAAGCATATATACCTTATTAATATATAAAAATTCATTTTATACCAATAAATCCAAATAATAACCCTAAATACTTCAAAACCCCATTGAAATCCCAAAACTACTGCATAATAAACTTTCCATTGTACATGTAACTGAAGATTTCCAAGGACAGAGAACGTATGGCATTAAATTCAAAAGCAGAACATGTGGATATTGAATTTAAAAATTAATTTACTTGCTATGATAATATTGACTGAGGAATTGAGAATATCCATTATCGGCGATTGTATCATATTGATTACATTAAGATAATCCTGGTGTTTGACATTCAACAGGAGTTCGCGTCTGAGGGCTTTTTTTTTTCCGCAAAATGATTACAGGCAGTATGTTCATATCAAAATTTTAACCAATACTACTGCAACTTTGGATATTCCATCTTGTCTCTGTTTTTTAAGTCAATTTTTTTGTGCCATTTTTTGAAATGAGTGTGAATCTTTACCATTAGTAATTGAATGATTAGGGGCTATTTACTACATTGATATAATTTAAGACATACACACTTGTAGTGCCGATTGAATCTATCTGATGTGTATGCGTATCACAGCATGATGTCTCTGAAGCACCAGAAAAAATGATCCAGGAATGTGTCTCTGAAGCACTTGAAATCTAAACTGATGTATGCATGTCACAATCTAAATGATATGCGCATATCACAATCGAACCGATGTGTGCATATCACAATTGAAGGATCATATATGTGTCTCTAGCGCACTGAAAACTAACTGACGTATGCATAAAACGATCTAATTGATGGATGCATATCACAATTGAACGATTAGGAAATGTGTTGGCAATGGTGATATGAAAACATATATTGTTCACTAAATAAAAAAAAAAAAAAATCTTCGATATCTCCGATTAAATGATGTATATGATAGCGTAATAATATTAACAAATCGAATGGGTTCAGGGATACCAATGGATGCATCAGATACTGATTTTTTCAGTTGTGGCTACTTAGCTAGTCAATTCAAATATTGATATAATTTTTTTTTTTTACCCAATGCAGTAAATGACATGAACATCTTCATATCTTGCAACTCAAAAGAGTTTCGGGCTGCTGGTACCTAATGATTGCTATTATGTGGATTCAGTTGAGATGATCTCCATCAAGATGCAGATTGATAGCTGCAATGTTGGCTTGGAAATAGAATACCAAGAGGACGAAAACCTGCCAACGATTAGTATTACAAATGACTACTCAGTCCTTCTACATTGAAGATATGAAACATCTCGTTTCTGGTTTCTTTTAGTTGCAGTCAACTTGATCATAAATTTTATAACAATACTTGTCCCAACTTGCTTAAGATTGTCAGATATGGTGTGTGGTCTGCAGCAGCTGATGAAACTAGAATGGCTTCCTCTATTCTACACCTACATTTCCATGACTCTTTTGCTAATGTAATCACATTACCTTGTATACTTCCACATGGTGATGTTAATGAGCCGAGCCGCAAGTTGAAACTTTTTTCGGCTGAGCCAAGTAAAAGCTTAGCCGAAAAAGGCTCGGGCCTAGCCGGGTTATTATTATTATTATTATTATTATTATTATTATTATTATTATTATTATTATTATTTTACATGGCACTCGGCTACCTTAAAAGGCTGCCGAGTACTGCCTTAAAATGAGGCAACCACCTATAAGAAATGTGACTCACATAGGAGTCTAATTGAATTATATATTTCTACCTTTTTGGGACTTTTTTTAGGGCTAGACCAAGTGTACTATAAATACAAGGCTCCTCTGTGAGTTTTATTGAAGCATCATTGCTGTCCAATTGTAATTCTCTCCATATTAATAAAATTCGTCGTTCCTCTGCTTAATTCATCTTTTACTTTAATTTTGTTCGTGGTATTTTGCGATCTTGTATTATACTTCAAATTGGTGTCCATTAAATCTCAATTCTCGCGTTTCGTTTCCATCGGTCCCAACAAATGGTATCAGAGCGGGGTTATTGGTGGATTTCTGACCTGAAACTAATCGGAAATTGGTCTGAAGATTACCAGAAAATCAGAAAACGAATTTGTCCAGTTTTTTTGATTTTCTACCGAATTTGTTTGTGCATTTTCCGATGAAACTACTTACCTTTTGGAGAAACGAACACCACCAATGAACTCAACAAGCAGAGATGGGCCAGAAAGGGTCAGAGTTCGTCGGTGCGTGATCAGCTGATTGCCGGCGGGTAGAACTCCGGCAAGGCGTATGGTGGCGCGTGAGGGGTTTTCCGGCGATGGTGTCTTTAGGCAGTTTTCTCTGGACGACGAGACGGACCTTGTTGTGGTGTCCAATTTCAGTTTTGGGCAAAATTGTGGTTCTGGATTGTTTTGCCCCTTGCACGTTCGGAAGTTTTAAGTTTTTAGTTTTGGGTG